GTGCTGCTCATCGGCCTGTTCGACGGCATCGGAGGCCTCGCCGTCGCCTTCTCGAGGCTGCCCTTCCGCATCGCGGCCTACGTCGCGGCCGAGACGGGCGCCAAGGCGAGGCGCGTTGTCAGGCTCCGCTGGCCAGGTGTCATCGGCTGGGGCGACGTCACCCGCTTGGGCAGCGAGACGGCGCGGGACCTGTTCGAGGGGTTCGGCGGCCTCGTCGACCCCGTTGCGGTCGCTGCGGGCGGCCCCTGCGGGCGCGGCCTCAGCGGTAGGGAGTCCTCGCTGTTCCACGAGGTGACGCGTATCCTGGCTCTCCTCGCCGCCGTCTTCAGGGACAAGCTCGTTTGGCTCGTGGAGAACATGGCCAGCATGTCCAGCGTCAACGTGGAGCTGATCTCGGAGGCGCTGCAGGTGAGACCGACGCTGGTGTGCCCGTCGGTGTTCGTGCCGCGCCGCAGGCCGCGCCTGTTCTGGACGAGTTTGGGGCGTCACCTCATCGGCGCCTCTTCGGCTGACCGACCGCGGGGTCTACGACGAGCTGGTGGGCCCTGGCGTCCCGCTTATGGACCTTGCGTGGGAGGACGAGGGCGGCTCTTGGCCAGGGAGACCGAGACGAGGTACACCTCCCTAGCCACCCAGGGCTCGAACCCTCAGGACGCCTTCGACGCCAGGGCCTTCCGCCTCGGCAACAGCTTCAGTATTCACGACGTGGCATGGTTGTGCCAGCAACTCCTGCACCGCCGCGGCGCGCTGGACAGGGAGCTGTCGATAGAAGGGGTGTCCCCCGTCCGCGAGTGCCAGGCGACGCGGGGCCAGGCGGGGGCCTTCGTCACGGAGCCAGGGGAGCCGGACACCGCGGAGGCGAGGCAGCTGGTCCTGCACTACCTCAGCCGCACGGAGAAGGGCGGGTCGGACGTCAGGCTGGACTACGGCGTCCCCTACCGCCCGCGAGGTTGGCCGAGGACGAGCCTGGACCCGTTTGTGCGGAAGTGGCGCGTGGTGGTCAGCATGGCGTGGCCCGGGCAGAACTCCACCCGCATAAACGTGAGAGAGCTGCAGGCGGCCACGTCGGCGATCAGGTGGCGCGCCCGCAAGGTCGTGCAGCACGGGAGCAGGTTCTTGCACCTCGTCGACAGCCAGGTGGTCGCGGCCATCGTGACGGGGGGCCGCAGCAGCAGCAGGAAGCTCCAGCCCATCCTGATGCGCCGGATGGCCGTCGTCGTGGCGGCCGACATGTACCCACTGGTCGGCTACGCGGTCTCGGAGGACAACCCCGCGTGGCTCGGAGCCCAGGAGGCGAGGGCGACCCGCGCCGCGCGCGCGGCCGTTCACCGCAGGCCCGTGCCCGTGAGGCGCCGCGGGACGCGCTGCCAGACTTTCTCTTCCCTGACAGTGTCGGCGGAGACGCGGCGGCGCTACGGGCGGGCTCCGCGGGCCCTGCTGGCCCACTTCGGAGCTGAGCAGGCGGGGGCGGACGTTTTGCGCGGCGACCCCGAGGACGCCGACGCCCTCGTCGCGGAGTACCTCGAGGACCTGTGGGCCTCTGGTGCGGGCAGCGCGGCCGCCAGCAGCACGCTGGCAGAGGTGTGCTTCGCAACGCCTCGCCTGAGGCGACACCCTGGCCTGAGCGGGACTCTCCTCAGGGCATGGAGGCAGCATGGGCCAGCGCCCAGGGTGCTGCTGCTCACGACCCAGGCCGTCGCGGCCATGGCGGGGATCGCTTGCGCTGCAGGCGCTTTCGACGCGGCCGCCCTGACGGTGAGCGACATCGTCGACCGCGACATCGTCGACGAGCTGTTCGTGGTCCGCATCAGCTCGTCCAAGACCACGGCCGGCAAGGACTGCGCGGAGGCAGTCGTCGTCCGCGGCAGGATGGCCGCGGTGCTCCTGCGGATTGCAGGCCGCGGCCTTGGTGCAGGCGCGCGGCTCTCCACCGCACGCCTGTGCATCGAGGGCGCGGTGGCCAGCTCAGTGCCCGCCAGCCCGGGAGCAGGGCAGCCCGCGCCGTGCGAGGACTGCGGCTCCTGCAGCTGGCCACTGTAAAAGGCCACCGCTTGCGCCCTACAGTGCTTGCCAAAATTCGGGCGTTTGTCTTCGCTGCGGCGAAGGCAACCGCCCTCCCGCCGTGGGGCCGCCTGGCTCTCTCTCTCTCTCTCTCTCTCTCTCTATCGCTGGTCCTGGTTTCCTGGGGCCCCTGGGCCCGCCCGTTGTGGGGCGTTTTCTGTTTGGGGCCCACGCCCGTCTCACCTCCTTCGCGCCTCGTGTCGCCTCCTCCCGTCGCCTCCCCCCGTCGCCTCCTCCTCGAACGTGCCAACCCTTTCGGGGCCCAGCGGCCGTGAGAAGGGGACCCAGGGGGGGGATGACACTCTGCGCGGCCTGCCCTTTGGGCGTTGCCGCGCCGCTCTGGCGGCTGCAGAGTGTTGTCCCCCTCCTGGGTACCGTCCTCACGGTCCTTGGACCCCAGAAAAGGCTGCCGTGCCGTGCGGAGGGCAAGGGCTGGAGAAGGGCGTGGAGTGGGGGAGTGTGCTGGGGGGCCAAACCAAGGGGCTGCTGGGGGGGGGTCTGGCACGCCTAGGGCCGCCCTGTGCGGTGCCTGCCCCGCGTCAGGCCTGTGGCCTGGCGCGGGTGGCGTGTCCAAACCTCCCAGGCAGTCCTGTGGTTTGCCCCCCAGCACACCCCCGAGTTAAGGACCGGCATAAATATGCCATTTTCAGGGGGGGGGGAGTTAAACACGGACGGCCTACGTAGCCTTAAGGCCAGTAGGTGGGGGTGTTAGATAGCGTAGGCCCCCTCCCCAGATTGCTGTATGCGAACGGTGGAGCACCACCTCGCACGCCTTAGGTGGCAAGCGCGCGGTGCGGTAGGCGCCGCGTGCTTGCCGCCTAGGAAATGCGTGGCGTAGGGTACCCTTGCATCCCGATGCGTACAGTAGCTGGGGGGTTTGAGGGGGGTCTAGCCTACTCTGACCATTGGCGTGTCCGCACGCAAAAAGGTGGGGCAGGGTATGTCCGTATACTGGTTCCCTGTATGCGTATACCCGCCTTCCCCCCTTTGGCCAGGACACGCCGCCCCAACACGTCCGTAGCCTGTTTGGGCTCCCACCCACGGTCCACCCCTTCCGTGTTGAGGCACGCTTTCTGCTGGTGTCGTAGCCCAGAAGATAGCGTAGGCCCCCTCCCCAGATTGCTGTATGCGAACGGTGGAGCACCACCTCGCACGCCTTAGGTGGCAAGCGTGCGGTGCGGTAGGCGCCGCATGCTTGCCGCCTAGGAAATGCGTGGCGTAGGGTACCCTTGCATCCCGATGCGTACAGTAGCTGGGGGATTTGAGGGGGGTCTAGCCTACTCTGACCATTGGCGTGTCCGCACGCAAAAAGGTGGGGCAGGGTATATATATATATATATATATATATATATATATATATATCGGAGTAGGCCGGGGGAAGCTGTGCCGCTGCCTGTTCCCCCCATGGGTGACCGACCGCCGGGGGTTGTGGGGGGTTCCAGAGCTCCCGAGGTGGCGTGGACCCGCTCCTAAACAGGCCACGACAGGCTAAGAGGGGTCCCGAGAGGGCCCAAGACGCTCCCAAGAGGCCCCGAAGACGCCCAAGATACCCTCAAGACAGCCGACGAGGACTCCAACACGCTCCAGGACGGACTCAAGAAGCTCCCCCGTGGGAGGCAAAAGGTTTTTGAAGGATTTTGGCGTTCTCGTTTTTCCCGCTTTCCAGCGCTCCCTCACGGCCTCGGAGGCCGTTCAGATCGCTCCAAGACGGCCCAGGAGGCCCCGAAGAGAGCCACAAGACGGCCCAGGAGGCTCCCCAGACAACCCAAGTGTGCCCCAGGAGCTCGCCAAGAGAGGGCCCAGAGGGGAACCGCCAACTGATATTTCGAGGGCTTTGGCCCTAGAGGCCCCCAGCAGGCCCCCGGAGGCAACCAAGAGGATCCCACGAAACCCTGTGAGGCGCCGAAGAGGCCCCCAGGAAGCCTCAAGAGACCCGCAAGGGGCTCACAGGTGGTTCATCATCGGCCCGAGAGTTCCTGGAGGCCCCCAAGGGGCCCCCAGGGAACGCCCAAGAGGCCCCCCAACACACCCCAACAATTCATGTCTCCGGAAAGCCTTCTGGGGACATGGTTGATCATGGGCCCGAGAGTCTCCCGAGGCTCCAAAGCACCATCACGCTACCAGAGAGCTAGCTGTCTGGGAAGTTGACTGGGAACATGACTGATCGCCTTCTCGTGGCCCCCCGCAGATCGTTTCGCACAAAGTTGCCCCAAGTGCCACGACGACTACGACGACGACGGCGACGGCGACAAAGGCAACGAAACGACGAAGACGACGACGACGACGACGACGACGACGACGACGACGACGACGGCGGCGGCGGCGGCGGCAGCGGCGGCGACGGCGACGACGAAGGCGACGGCGACGGCGACGGCGACGGCGACGACGACGATGACGACGACGACATTACGACGACGACGGCACGCCCCAACAGGCTCCCCAAGACGCCCCCCAAACCCATGTTCCCAGAAGACCTTCTGGGAACCCGATTCATCTGTCCTCCGCCCCCCTACGCAACCATCTTCCCCGAAAGCCTTCCAGAATGCGGATTGACATGCCGGGATTGTGGTCCACTACTTCAGTGGAGCTGTGAATTCGTCAAGGCCTCACCTGAGCGCGAAGCGCGCGCGATGGTTCTAGCATGTACGTATACATGCATACGTACATACATTCATACATACAGGCATGCATACATACACACGCACATACATACACATATACACACACGTACATACATACATACATACATACATACATACATACAGACAGACAGACAGACAGACAGACAGACAGACAGACAGACAGACAGACAGACATGCATACATGCATACATGCATATGATCATTTTAACAAGCGTATGCTGCGTCCCACGGCGAAATTGCCGCACTTGATGGACATCTGTGGCCATCTCGCTCAAGCCTCGAGCGAACTCCGCCCGCATGCTCGCCGCGGCGTCCGCGGCGGCTGGCGCGCTGTTCCCGGAGGTTGGCCGTGGGCTCAGCACCGGGCTGGCGTTGTACGCCGCCAACCAGGGGCAGCAGTGCCCGGCGTGCACCTGCGCGCCGCAGCTGCAGTGCCCGGAATTGCGTTGCGACTGCTCCGGCCTGCAGGGGTCGAGCACCCAGGGGCCAGGCCCCTGGTCGGTGGCGCTCGCTTGCGCCGCCAGCGGGCTCGTGGGGGCCTGCAGCGCGGCGCTGGCCTGCTGGCGCCTGAGCGGCCGCTCCTTCGGGCCGCGCGGTGCCGCGCCGGCCACGGACGGGGAGGCGGACTTCGGGGGAGCAGGCGCGGGCCCAGGCGCGCGTCGCTCGCGCTAAGGCCCTGCAGTGCCGATGGCGGCGCCGGCACCTCCGGCGTACCCATCGGTCGCTGGCTTTGGGGTCCAGCCTGGGGACTTCATCGGCGTGCAGTACAACATCGGCGGCGCGGCGCTCATCCACGAGCGGCTCGTGGTGCTGATGCCGCCAGGTCGGCCCGACAGCGCGAGCATCCTCACCCTGGACGACGACGAGTACGAGGAGAAGTACGTGGGCTCGGCGGACGTGTTGAGGTGGGACATCTTCCCTGGGCGCTGCTGGCGGCGTGATGCCGTGGGCCCCGGGGGCCCGCTATTATAGGTTCTGCAGCCTGCCGACGCCAGCGACCATCCTGGCGGCCGCGGCCGCCGCGGCGGGTCGGCTCGGGCTCCCCGCTCCTCCAGGGCCCATCGTGGCCAACGCGGGTGGGCGGGCGCTCGACGTGCCTGCCGCCGCGCCGCTGGGCGCGCTGGTGCCGCCGGCCGTGCGCCCCGCCGCCCCAGCTGCCGGCGTGGCCGGGATGGTGGCCGCCCTGGGCGGGCCTGCGGCGGCGCCGGGGGCCTCCCTGCCGCTCCTGCCGCCCGCCGCGGCGCTGCCGGGTGGCGCGCATCCGCCGGCCCCCGCGCCCGCGCCCATGCTGGCGCTTGCGGCCCCGCCGCCCGGCACGGCTGCGGCCGCCCCGGCCCCCGCGGCCCTCGCCGACGTCCGCGTGCATCCCGTGGTGTACAAAGCCCTCGGCTCCAGGCGCATCGGCTTCGGCGACGCGGTGGAGCGCACGGTGGAGCACCAGTGGCCGGACTGGCCGATCTCCGGCCCACGTACGACGCTGTGGGTCTGCCAGTTCATGAAGGACAACGGGCTGTCGCCCCTCGGACGCCACAGCAAGTGGAGGTCAGAGGGCCGCCTCGCCCTCACCGATGGCGGCGTGGCCGAGCACGAGCGCTGCTGCTCGTACCTCGAGCAGATGGTGTGCTTCGATCAGTTGAACGTCCCGGACGTCGCGGCGGCGGAGATGATCTGCCGGAGCATCCAGGTGCAGGAGGAGACGTGGCGCGAGCGGTTCGTCTCGAGTGCCGACGAGTCGCTGGACTCGCACTTGTTCTACGGCACCTCGACGAACCGTGGCAACGTGTGCGTGCACCCCCAGCTGCTGGCCCACGTCGGCGCCGAGCTATCCAAGGAGTACGCCGTGGCGAAGGAGAGGCGCAATGCGAGGGAGGAGCGGCAGTCCGCCCGCGCGCCGGGCAACAGGGACAACGAGGGCGACAAGGGCAAGGACAAGGACGAGTCAAAGGGGTGAAGGAGAGCGCGCGGCAGGACTTGGGGCCACCTGCTGCGCTGAAGCTCGAGCACCAGGCCCTTTTTCGCGGCGACTCCGCCGCCCCTGGTGACCATCGCCATCGGGATCTTTTTCCGCTACCTCATGTGGCTCGACGGACCGTGTGTGTTGCCGATCGCCGCCCCTGCCGCGCAGTGCGTCAGCGGTCCCGCCGCTCCGATGTGCTGCTGCAGTGGGCTGACCATGGCGTGGATGCTCTCAACCGTCTGTCTGGCCGCGCTGGTGCGCCTCCGTCGGCGCCTGAAAGCCTGGGACAGCAGACCTGCCTGAAGTTTCTGGAGGACTGCTACTTGGGCGTGTGTGCGATGCCGAGCGAGCCAGGTTTTTGTGAAGAAGCCCTCCGCGGGCTTCTCAGCAGCTCCGCCGTCTACTCGGATGACGGCGGCGCCCGGGCCCCGTGCTCCAAGGAGCTGGTTTCCTGGCCTGGGGTGGGTTCCAGCCCTGCTGACCTTCTGGGCTGCCTTACTCGGGATGACGCTGACTGGGCACGGGATTGGCGACATAATCTGCTCAAGGCGCCCGACGAGGCGCTGGGGGGAGCCTGACAAGCTTGCCCGCGTGGACCCTTTGTTGACCCTCGGTTGGCACGGGACCCAGTTCTGCATGGCGAGTTTGTTCGGCGTCTGCATCAATGTGGCATGCTGCGCTTCAAGGTGGCCTCCGCTGACAAGCACATGATAGGTGTATTTTTTTGTGGGGAAGAAGTCCGGGAACTTCGCATCGTGTTCGACGCGGGGTGCGCCGGCGCCTTCTTCCACCCGACACCTCCGACGCGGCTTCCCACGGCGGCTGCGGCGTCGTCGGTGGAGTCGGGCGCGTCACCGCTGTACGTGGCGAGCGGTGACCTCGACAATGCCTTCTACGGCCTCCGGCCCATGTCGGGCCTCGAGGACTACTTCACTTTGCCCAAGCTGTCCTCCACGCCCGCCGGCATCACCGAGCTCGACGGCGTCATCTTGCCAGCGGGTGCCAGCCTGGTGCCGTGCCTCACCATACTGCCCATGGGGTGGTCGTGGGCGATCGACTTCTGCCAGGCCGTGACCATGCGGGCGGTCTCGGTGGCGGGCTTTTCGGACTCCCAGATCGTGGAGGACGGCCAGGCGAGCGTGCCCTTGCTCGCCCCCTCCGCCACCGCCGCCGCTGGCTACGTGGGCAACTTCTACGTCTTCGGCCACGACCCGTCGCTGGTCACGCGCCGCCGCGACGACGTGTCCGCCGTCCTCCGGAGCTGGGGCCTGACCGTCCACGAGGAGACGGACGCCACCACGGACGCCGTGCTGGTGGGGCTGGAGCTCCGTCAGGGCCGTTGGCTCTCGGTCAAGCGCCGCAACTTGTGGCGGCTGCGGGCGGCGCTCGACACCGTGCTGCGTCGGGGCTGCTGCTCGAGCAAGATGCTGGAGGTGCTGGTCGGCCACGTCACATGGGCCTGTCTTACACGCCGGGATTCGTTTGTGTGCTGAGCGCCAGCGCCGTGTGCCCGCACATGGCCGCCGGCTTCCCCGCGACTTCTCGGATGCGGGGCTCTGTTCGTGAAGAGCTCTGGCTGTTGCGATCGCTGCTGCCCCTCCTCCAGAAGGATCTGAGCAGCCCGTGGCACGACATCGTTGGAGTGAGTGACGCCTCCGAGTTCGGAGTCGGCGTGGCCGCGCGGTCTGTGCGGCCGAGTGTCGCGGCGCAGCAAGGCCGCCAGTGCGAGCGTCGGCGGCGTCGTGTGCACGGGGCCGAGAGGGTGCGTGAAAGAGTCCTCCAGCCTCAGCCTCTGCCTTCCTCCACATCTGGCACAGCTCCGCAGCCTACGGGGCTGCGCGGCCTGGACTTCGCGGGGCTCGAGTCCTTCATCAGGGTGCACCCTCGGGAGTTCATGGAGGTCCCCCGGGAGTTCTTCGACGGGGCTCGCTGGGCTCCGGTTATCGCCACGAGGGTCATCGTGCCCGACAACATCCTGGCCTTAGAGGGAGACGCGTGTATCTTGGGTATCAAGCACATCTTGAGGTCCAGGGCCGCCATCGGGAAGCACATAATATTGTTCGTCGACAACGCGCCGTTGGCCCTGGGGTGCTGTAAAGGAAGGGCCGCGTCTATTCATCTGCGTCGTACACTTCGTAAACTTTGTCGCATGGCCTTGCGTTCCAACTGTGCGATGCACATCCGCTGGACCTGCAGCGAGTTCAACCCTGCCGACTCCCTGTCTCGTGGCCGTCTTGGTTGGTTTACAGGGCCCTACCGTCGCCCCGCGACCGTTTCGCCGCGTGTGCCGACGCCGGGGTCCGATGCCGAGCGCTGCGACCACCCAGCGACAGGCGGACCGCCAGCGCCGGGCCGCCGCTGCCCGCCAGGTGGCGGCGACGCGGGGGCCCTCCGGCGGCCTGTCGGTGCTGGAGCGGACGGCGGTGAGGCCGGGCACGGAGCGCCTCTACCAGGTGTACGTCCGGGCCTTCCTCCAGCTGAACTCCATGCACTTCGAGGGCCGCGCCCCGAACGAGGGCTCGGCGCTGCTGGCGGCGCTGGCGCACTACACGCCGGCGCTGTACAAGAGGACCGCGCAGGCTCTGCCGCGGGCGACCCGCTGCCTGGCGGGCTGGCGCCTCTGGGCGCCTACCAGGATGCGCCTGCCGCTGCCTCGCCGGGCGGCCTTCGCCATCGCAGGGGCGCTGGCCGCGTGGGGCCAGCCGCGCATGGGCCTGTTCGTCATGGTCTCGTTCGCGGCCTACCTCCGCCCGCAGGAGGCGTTCCGGCTGGCGGGGCGGCACCTCGTGCCGCCGGTGGCTCACCCGGGCCAGGCTCCGACCCCGTGGGGCCTGCTGCTGCGCGACTCGGACCTCCAGCTGCCCGGGAAGACAAGCCTGTGGGACGAGAGCGTGCTCCTGGACCAGGCTCCCTGGCTCGAGCCCGCTCTGGAGGCGCTGAGGATTGCGGCGGGGGACGGCCCCCTCGGGGATTTCCAGCCTATGTCGATTGCTCGGCTCTTCGTGGATGCGCGCCACGCCCTGGGTCTGATGCGCCTGCAGCCCCATCTCTATTCCCTCCGCCACGGGGGGGGCCAGCGAGGACCTGCTGTCGGGTGCGAGGACGGCGGAGCAGGTCATGCGCCGCGGCCGCTGGACCACCCTGGCCTCTCTTCGCCGTTGCGGCAAGGAGACCCGCCTCCTCCGGGGCGCCGCCAAGGTGGACCCCGACGTGCTGCTGTTCGGGGGGGTCGTGGAGCAGAACTTCCTCGATGCGCTGCGGGGCGGGCCGGCGCTGCCGCTGGTGATGCACGCGGTGCCGGAGGCGCTCCGCCGGCGCCTTCCGGCAGGCCCCGGCGCGCCCGCCGCCAAGCGCGCCCGGCGGCGCTGACTGCATCGCCGGCGGCCGCGAGGCAGCATCTGCAGCGGCGATGCCGTCGCGCCCGCGCGGCTGCCGACAAGTGGAAGTGCTGCCTGTTCCTGGAGCTGTTCGCCGGCTGCGGCCGCATCTCCCAGCGTGTCCGTGACATGGGCTACGGCTGCCTGGACTTGGTTGGACATCGCCCAGGGAGTCGTCGAGGACCACCTCGGCTCCACCTTCGAGTCGGTGGTGCGCGGCTGGTTGCTCAGCAAGGCCGTCGCCGGCCTGTGGCTGGGCACTCCGTGTGCGTCGTGGTCGCAGGCGCCGAGGGATCCGCTGCGCTCGATGCAGCATCCCATGAGCAAGCCAGGTTTAGAGGGCGCCCGTTTGCACCGGCTCCGCCTCGGCAATCGGTCATTCCACTTTTCATGCCGGCTCATCCGGCTTTGTATCCAGATCGGCTGTCCTGTCTTCTTGGAAAATCCTCGTGGGTCGCTTCTTTGGCATGCTCCTGAGATGGTCAGGTTACTCTCTCACCCATCGTGCACTGTCCTCAAGATGGACATGTGTCAGTTCGGCACGCCTTTTAAGTAGCCTACCTCTGTCGCCTGCTGGAACGCCAGCGTCCTTCCCAGCTTGTGTAAGTCCTGTTCTGGCAAAGGCGGCCTTTGCTCTTCGACCGGCCTGCCTCGCCTCATCCTCCAAGGTCGGGATAAAGGAGCGCCGGCCCGCCGCGCCGAGCTGGCCGCGGCGTACTCGCCTCAGTTCGCCCGCGCCGCTGCTCGTGCTTTCGTTCATTCAGCCAATGCACTCAAAGAAGAATGGATGATGAATGCGGCTCTCCAAGTCACTTAGCGCCGCTCACGCTCCGACGTTGTCAAAACAAAATTTTCGGTTTGCAAGGCTTGTCTCAGTTCTGTATACGTGCGTAGTTCGTTTTCGGCAACGCTTCGTGGCCAGGATTGCTCTGCGGGGTTCGGGTGGTTCCTTTCAGTATCTTTGAAAGCGCGCGGCTCTCGCCGGGGATCTGCTTACTGTATATAGCCTCCGGTTGCCGTGGCCTCGCCGCCCCTTGCTCGTCCCCATATGAAAAATACATCGTCCTGGCACCTGGGGAGTGGAAGTAGCTGATCCTTTTAACAAGCGTATGCTGCGTCCCACGGCGAAGTTCCCGCACTTGGTGGACATCTGTGGCCATTTCGCTCAAGCCTCCCCTCCCTCTCCTCCCTTGCTTTCTCTCTTTCGCAGAATGTCTCTGGCGGCTCCTTTCAGTATCTTTGAAAGCGTGCGGCTCTCGCTGGGGATCAGCTTACCGTGTATAGCCTCCGGTTGCCGTGGCCTCGCCGTCCCGCGCTCGTCCCCATATGAAAAATAAATCGTCCTGGCACCTGGGGAGTGGAAGTAGCTATACATACACACATGCACATACATACATACACAAATACATACCTACACACATACACACGTGTATGCACATATACATACCTACGTACATACATACATACATGCATACATGCACTCATGCATACATACATACACACGCGCACACATATATATATATATATATATATATATATATATATATAGGTGTATGTACATGTATACGTGCTTGTATACAAGCGTGCATGCATGCATACATACATACTTACATGCAT